GATTTACTTGCTTTAAACTAGTTATAATCACTTTAATGCTACAGCAGTCTATATAGCTGCACACTTAATAAAAGTGTAATATGAGAAAGTTCTGTACCCTAGGGTTAATATTTTTAAGTTTACAAATAGCACTGTAAAAATCCAGGACACAATTTGTATTTGTAACATAAATGAATAATCATAAGCTATGTACATAAATACAATTCAACTAAAAAAGGGGGGGTTTTGTCTGAATAACATATTATTCTTTGACTTGCTGTGCAGATTATAGACTCTAGAAAACTATTCATCCCTTAGTAACAGAACATATGACCACTATCACCAAGTTTTTTCTTTTCCAGATCTCTAGCACCCCTATTTAACATAAATTTTGCTAGCAGGTTATGCTACATAACATGTCTTTATATAAACTCATTGAAACTAATATTGGGTATTTTTAATAAAATAATAATCTATAATACTAAGATTATTTTGTACTTTTTATGGATGTATGGAGACAAGAAGCTTTATTTTTTGACAGACATGAGAAGTAGCATATTTCTATACCATATATTTCAGTACCATTTGTTATTCACATGTTTATTTTGTGTTATTTTGTTAGTATTCAAGATTTCCAGTAGCTGTTCCCTTTTCATCATAGTTCTCTTAAATGCTACACGTATTTTTGTTGTTTAAACAAAATCTGGTCTATAAAACATAACATTTGACTTAACTAATTGTAACATTCTGAAATTCTTTGACTTGTTTTGCAGAACTGTTAATAGTATTTACAATGCTTACACTTAATGGAAGATCTTACCACCAGATGTTACATTGCAATGTTACTGCCCCTACACATCCACCTCAGTCCCCCAAGTTGCCTTACTGCCCTTAGACTGTGGGTGCAGGAATACAACACGCAGCCGCTCCATTTCACGGTGTTAAAATCAAACATAAGTCAGACTTTAAGGAGGATGTAAACAGACTACTCCAAATGGGTTTGGCAGAGGTGTGCAGACACAGTTCCTATTCTGCTGTTGCCCACTGCTAAGTGCAGAGAAAGGAACAGAAGTACTTACAACAGAGGGGACAGACAGACAAATGGGAACGAAAGACCAAAAAAAATAAAAATCACAAAAATCCCTGTGCATTTGGTGTATGTAAGCCAGGGTTTACAGTTATGTTTTTACATTTTTTACAAAGTTTTGAAATACATTTTTCTCTCCTAGAATTCCTTCTTCTTCTAAGAATTATTTTAAAAAGTCTTTGCCTTTTTACCAAAACTGGTGTGTCCTACAGAAAATCCTCAGTTTATACGTTGTTCTGATTAACAGACAAATGTCTTGATGGTATCAGACAATTCACAATTAATTTCATTTTTTGTTCTGTGACCAACTGGAACATCTCCAAATCTCATGCTCTTTCCTTCTTATTTTCGTCCAACTAAAATATTTAACTTCAAAGTGATTATGTCTTTGATGATTTGTTTTAATCAACTGATTCTGTCAAACCTTAAGAGTTCTTCAAATAACCTCTAATTTTGTTATGACTTAATATTCCTGTTCTTCAAGAGATCAGACATTATTATATCTGTGGCTAAAATCGATTGCTTCTAATACAAAAAATGAAGCACACCATAACAGAGCGGAAATCTGTGGATATATGATTAAGAATAAGACGTAAGATTTAGGAAAATGTTTTAGGAACAAGAAGGCCACCAAATATGAAAACAAAGCATCTGGAATAGAAGAAAAGTTTCTGAAACTAAAAGCTCACATGAGCCTAAGGATAGGAACAAGATACGATAGCAATGAAAGGACAAGTGAGAGACAGAAGTTATGAAGCGAGGCTGAGAACAAAAGAAAACGGGGAAAAATAAATGATAAAGCATCAGAATAACCCAAGGACTTGATTTTCAGCAGTGCTGAGCACTCCTGCAAATCTAGCCCCTTAGTTCTTAATGGACCGGTTCATCACAAAACCTTGACAAAGTACCTGAAGGATTTATAGATTCACTTATTTAAAAAGTGGGAGACCTACACAAAAATACTCAGAATAAAAGAAGTGACTAGTCTAACTAAAGCATCATAAATTTAATTGTCAGGTGTGAACACAAAGACACCAAACTTTAAGACAAAATAAATGTGTTTACTTTCAGCTTGAGTAGCTAAGTGACAGATAAAAGAATGGTAAAATTCTCTACCTCTATCTAGCGTTCATCCACTTTAATGGAATGGATGGATTCTTGATTAGTAGAAAATTGTTAGTCTTGAGGTATGGCAAATATATTAACAGCACTATATATTAACACTATAGCAGAGTTCAAGCACACAAACACGGCAGCTAAGTAGGTATTCCTAGGAACCACCCTCAAGATGCCATGAGGTGGCTTGAGTTTATACTCAGAATTTCACCAAGCCAAGCAACTGAGAGCTTGCATTTTTAGCGATACTCGTACTTCAGGAACATTAACTCAAAATTTCTAAAATTATAATGACAAAACATGTTTTCTGCTTGTTTTCACACTTTAGTATTTCGTCTGTAAAATTCATTAACATACACAAAAGTCCAAGTAATATGAATAACGTGACATGTATATGAACACTGAACCACCCGAGCCATATAGGCTCAGGCAATAAAAGATGATGAACACAATGGTTAAGATTTATAAAAGCCCATAAAATGCATGGCAAATTTTGCAAATTTATCAGGTACTATGCCTCCGTTTAAATTCATAAAAGCACAATCCAACAAAAGTATAATTCATTCAGAAAAAAAAATATACTGAGAAGCATATAAAAACCATGATGCATTTCCTAAAAACAGGTACCCAAGACATGCCTAGTGGAAATAATGTATCCCTGATGGTCTTCCCTTAGTAGAGTAGAAATAAGCTACTCAAAGTCTCTGAATTTCTGCCACTTAGCCTTATGTCAAAAGCAGACTGTTTCTATACAAGGTGAGTTTTGCTGAGCAGCCCTACATGGCTAGTGTCTATCTACCCACTCTTTGGTCTCTCCCTGGTTATCCTGCAGCTGCTTTGGCAACTGGTATTTTCCACCATCCAAATACGTGGTGAAAAGCTGAAGTACTGTATTAGAGGGCGAGCAGTGTAACCTTCCAGGTTACCCTTTCTTGGAGGTTTCAGGTATTTCTCTCTTACAAAAGAAACGGCAGCAACACTGTTATCCTCAATACTTTTAACTGCGTGGACAAATTGCTCTTTTCATTTGGTAAAAATGAAAAAATACTGTCCCCCTCCTCACATAATGTATAAACAGTTAACAGAATCTTGAAGCACTGCGACTGCTCCTTTCTGTTCAACTCTGAAACAAATGAGAGACAAGTAATAGCATTGCATTGCTTCAAAGAAAACACTGTAATAATTTTTCTGGTATCATCGAATGATTTGTCAAATATATTTGTACAAGTTACTGAGTATGGCCAACTGCTAGCATTTTTGTCTTCTTCATGGTTCTGTTAGCCAGATTAAACTGGCTCTCACAAACTGAAAAAGGTTGGAATACCTTTTTGGTATTTCAAAAGGTTGGTTACAGAACAATAAGCAAGGAATATGATTTTTTTAAAAGTTATTGTCACAGGGACAATCTGAGACAATCCTTGAAAATAAGCAAAAGCCAGTCTGCAGAACTAGTAAGTGAAATTAATGTTATCAGTTTCCTTAAATACATTTATTCTCTGCCATTTCATTGGTTTTTACTTCAAAATTTTACTTTGATAAATATCCACACAAACCATTAGCATTCATGTGAAGTTATTCTGCTTCTAACCTAGGAAAGGGACTGTCTTTGGTTAGTAGCATGCTGATATTCCCTCTACCTAAAAACTAATTTCTTAATGACTGGGTGCAAGCTTACCTTTTCAGTTACTTTTTGTGAAAGAAATCATGCATCAAAGTGACCAGTGATCCTACTCAAAGATAGGCATTAGGTTCCTAATTCTGTATAAAATTAAGACACATAGCAACGGAGACCAAACTAGGGCAGCACTTGGACAGGCTTAGTATACAGTAAGCAGACCTGTTGCTTCTTTAGAATACCTAACAAGAAAAATACTGAAATCCAACCCAACATTGGCCAAAATACGTAACAATTCACTATAAACCTCTCTGCCAAAGGTAATTTTTTGTGTATCGTGTATGTTAACATCTGAAAAACAAAGGTCTCTCTCAACGCTGTGTTTTATTGCACCCAAATTTTGCCACCCTGACTGTAGTGGAGTAACTTACTTGGCAGTTTCATGATGAATTTCATTATCTTTTTCAAGATAATGAAACGCTAACTCTCTCGTCTCACCTTTAGACCACCCTCAACCTTTTACTCAGGTGACGGTGAAGACAGACCTCCACAACGAGGTTTGCCTGGCAGAGGCGAAGGCGAGCTCGGGTGTCGGTGTGTCCACCCAAACGCTGCCGCATACATACAAAGCGGCCCTGTCTCCACAGAGGAGCGGGCAGGTACCCACCATCGGGAAGGCTACGGGGGCTTCTGGCCCCCGTCTACCTGGCAACAGCTCAAAGGCGGGGAGAGAGGAAGGCGCTGAACGGGGGAGGGAGGCGGGTAGCCTTCAGGAGCCGACCACTGGAAGCTTCTTGCACTGTCCGCTGCGCCATCCGCTGCCCGCACCACGGGCTCTACCCTCACGGCTTTCGGCGTCGGGCGGGGCGAGGCGGCGTTGGCGCCTGCTCGGCTCCCCCTGCGAAGTGGGTCCGGGGTGCCCTGGTTGGTGCCTGCTCCCCAAGCTGTGCTGTCGCCCCGGTCGGGCTGGGGGCCGGACTAACAGGAGCTGCGAGGCCCGGTACGCTCGGCGCTGTCGGTGCGGAGCATCGCGGCGGGGCT